AATCAGTTCATACACTAGCAGATATGGTAATTCCTATTTGCTAGTGACTGGTAAGAAATTTATTAAACTGGAAAAACACTACCTGTATATGGCTTAACTGTCTGCAAATAAAAATGAATTCTACTACTGAACTAGTGGGTATATTAGCAGGCAAAGTCATTAATCACAGGAAACGCAAGTCACACGAAGGACACTCGCCTGGGAAGGCCTACTTCTTTCTCTTTTGGTGTGGGATATGGGAAGAATATTGCCTACCCTGCCCTGAAATGTTCTAATGAAGAGAGATTTCTCAATTAATCATGTTTCCAGGTATGTATATCATAAACCTTTTCATGGTTAAAGAAAAGTTTTCAGAGGTCTCTTACCTGTTAAAAATTAATATACGGTACTGTACTGCCATTTCAAGTTATAAGTGGGCATTAACTTCATTTCCTGAATCCATTAACAGGAGGAGGAAATAGAATTATCTTTTCTATCAACCAAATATATCTGCAGTTAACCATCTTTTTCTATAACTTAATTTAAGAAACTATATAAGTAACTACAATTGATCTTCACTTTATGTGACTTTGCTGTTTTGCTAAGAACCTACTTCTGCCACTTTCTTGCTTTGTAAGAGAAAAATTAGCAATTGTAAAACTGGCTAGGTGGACTCTGGTATGCAGTTAGGACATGTAAGGCCTTGTGGAACTGGATGGAGAGGTGGGTGAGCAGTCATATGAAGCAGCCCGCGCACTCCCAGACTCGGTGTCACCATCCACTGTTGTGCGCATTCCTACGCTACTCTCATCTCATCTTATAATGAGAGGATTTGCCATTACATTTGACTAATGCAATGTTGTCTAAGTGACCTAATGCATCTCCTTACCCCTCTATTTATCATTGATGAAGTGAAAGAGGGCTGCTTTAACATTAGAAACAAAGTTAGAATTATACAGGAGAGCTGAAGTAGGTGATGGTGTATCTGCAATTGGCTGTGCATTTGGCCTCAGGAAGACCACAGTATGAACCATAAGAAAAATGGTACCCTGGATATAAAGAAAGGACCGAGAACCCAACTTGGAGGAGTGAAAAGTAGATATTGAACGTAGCACACTGGTCTATAATGCAGGCTGTGGTAGTGAATTAATCTTAGTTTTAGGTGGTATTAAAAGTTGAAAAAAGGATGACCAATAGAGATATGCATAAGACCTGTGGGTTGACTGAGAAGGCCAAATGTACTTATGTGGGGGTTACTGATTGAATTAAAAGAAATACCTTGAGGTGGTAAGAACACATGAAGAGGAGGATGAATGACAGAATTACAAATAATGTAGATCAGTGAGGTAAAAAGAGCTAGAATGGTGGAAGGCAACAAGCTGCCTCAGAGGGAAAAAAGGAACAGTAAGTAAGGGAAACATGACAAGATAGTGAAGGGCATGCATTAGGCTGTGATGGAAGGTTTATGTCCTAAAGCTTTTTTCTATTATACTCCTCAACCCACTAGGGAAGTGACCATAGGTATCAAGGCATCTGAGGTGCAGGCAGATTTAGAGGTATAAATACAACAAGCCAAATTAGTCAACAATATCTCCCCAATTCAATACCATTTCCCAAACTTAAAAAAAAAACTAAAAACTAAATAAGAGTTGGTTTTGTAATCCTAATTCAAAATTATCAAACAAATATAATCATAACTGCTACACTGGGCACACATATCGGTACACTATATAGAAAAATTATTTTCACCCTTAATACAAATTCACACCACATTTCCCATCTCAAATTTTACTACTAGAAACATTGTAAGACCAAAAAAAAAAGTTGCACATAAGGAAATGTTGATGAGAAAGTTTATGAGAAACCTTTGTAAGTTTACACGTGACCACTATCACAGAATTAATTATAGGCTGAGTCTCATCAGTGAACTGAACTTATAAACATTACCTGGATATAATTCTGGGTGAATATTTTCATTGATGGTTATATATATATATTTAAAAAAAAAAAAAAAAAAAAAATCAGTGTTAAAATTAACAGCAATTCAGTTTCAGTACTCTATACTGCACTCATTTCCAATAACACAACTATTGTATGTATTTTGGTGTTTTTCAGTGATCCCTTTCAGAAGAAACTCTGCAACAACATTTTGTTTAAGGGATGGCTTGTTGAATGTACAGTAACTAATTCACCAACACCTCACCTACTTAATGAATAAAGGCACAAGGGGTAATAACAATCAAGTACATATGCTTCAATGTTACAAAACACATGCCTCTTACCCTCCCCATATATATATATATATATATATATATATATATATATATATATATATATATATATATATATATATATATATATATATATATATATATATATATATATATATATATATATATATATATATATATATATATATATATATATATATATATATATATATATATATATATATATATATATATATATATGGTACTGTATCCTGTATCTGACCAGTTTAAATAAAGATAGTAATATGTTATACTGTACAAGATACACTACAACAGCAAGTATTGATAACTTAGAGAAGCATAAGTCTCAATTCTGGATATGTGGAGTTGGAATTCCAGTTTATAAATAACCTCAGGGAGCAATTATTCAATTTGATACACAAATATGTCTTCTATGTGCAATTACCGAAGTGATGCTGAAGGCTTATAAGTCAGCACTCTACATGAATATCAGTCGCTGTCAGAGCTTGAGTCCTGCTGGAGAAAATATAATTAAAGTTATGGAACATTATGACTAGCCTGGAACTAACCCACCACAACATCTCAAACAATCAAGAAGCTCAGAGAACGGTACTGTACTTCTACAGTAGGTGCAATTACTATTTGAATGACAAAAGTTTTTCAATGAATGAAATATGAATATAAACATTCTATTAGTCTCTCTTAAAAATAAAAGTCAACAAAAACCTTTATTCACCAATACTGTAATCCAGAAAATGTGTTGACAAAATGACCAACTTCCATTAGAGCACACTATACCTCCCTCTAACTATATACAGTAAAGACAGTTTCTTTCAGTTAGACCTCCACCTGATGTTTCAAGCCAGTCTATATCTTCTAAGGTTGTCCATCTAATTAAAAATTTTGAAAAAAAAAAATTTAACAAAATTTTTACTTTTTTATAACAGCCCCTCAAAAACATTATTGTTCAGTATATCTAAATATGGTTCGTCTTTAATTATATTTAATACCTATTAAGAGCTACAGTGTACAGGGTGTCTCATTTGTTGTGTAAAATAGGAACATAAATTAACCCCTCTCTTTTTCTTTTTCAAGAGAAGGAAAAAAAATCAACAAAAATGGCAGAGAAATTAACACTAGAGGTAACAATTAGTGTAATTAATATTCCTGTATAGAAAGCCAGATGCTGCACATCAACGAATGAACTTAACAACACCCATATGACTTGGTGTTGTCGATTATATTCTTTTACAACTGAATGGAGTGTAGCAAGTGGTTTTCCATACATGAACATTAAACTGAATTATTCCTCTAGTGTTAATTTTTATGCCATCTTCATTGTTTTGATTCTCTCACCTGAAAAATAAAAATAGAGAGCATTAATTTTCCTATGGTGAAGGACCTATGAGACCCTGCACAAAATACAAAGATGACAAATTAATAAGTAACTCTTGAGGTACAAGTATTCTACACAAGTTAAAATATCTCCACATCACATCACAACTCATTTATAATTACTTCATATAAATATATATTTTTTGGCCTGTAACAATATTCAGTAATCTCTAACCTGCATCATTTAACCAATTTTTCAGTAAATACATAGAGTTGTCACACTAATGTTCTTTTCTTGGTAAATTCCAAAACGGTCATGATTTGAGAGTACAGGGGCCTCTCCCCCCCCCAATTTTGCGGATTTTTATTTCGCGGTCCTCTATTATTCGTGGATGACACCCTGGATGTACCCAAGAATGTCTGTGGTTAGTTTAAAAGTTACCAGCATTTTCGCGGCTGGGACAGGGAGCCATTCGTTCTAGAGACAGTAATTTCCTTTACCTGTATTGTAAATATGTGTGTGTGTGTGTGTACACACAAAACACATAGAAATAAATAATAATTGGAAAATCCTCTAACAAATAATCAGAAAAAAATTTATTATAGATGTGACAGTCTACCCTCAAGTCAATACTTTAGTACTTTATTAATAAAGCACGGACTTGAGGGTAGACTGTCACATTTTTAATAAATTTGTTTCTGAGTATTTGTGAGAGTATTTTCCCATTATTATTTATCTGTATGTGTGTGTCTACACAAAATACAGGTAAAGGAAATAATTGTCCTAAGGACAAACACAAAGGGAATATACATTTCTTTGTACACAGGTAAAAATGTACACCCCCGTCCATAAATGTTATTAAGATTTGGCGATTCGCGGTCATTTTGAGAACCTAACCCCCACGAATTTGGGGTCCCCCTGTACTGTATATCTAAAAAAAATAATCAATAATAACTGGAGTTACCCCTCTTCCTCCCCCCCCCCAGTAAATTCTGTTTAATGCGGGTTTACTGTATTTGTGTCCAGCTTAGCAGTCCATTATCAGTGTCATTCATGAATGCTCTTTAAATGTATAAAAATAACTACACACAATATTCCTGATTCTGATATGTGATGTATCCTAATACAGTATTTAAAATCTGGTATAAAGTTGAATAATCAACTTTAAAGCCAAACAGCATATGATGATGTGCCCTTCACCATTACCCAGACAGCTTAACCAGAAGTAATTCATTCAAGATCAATAGCCACGTGATTTATATATGGGTCACATATGTAGAATAAACAAACCAGTCAACCACCACACATTTCAAATATACTGTACAAAGTATTAGTACAGTATATCAATAAAACTTATATCTACTGTACTTACCATGTCACCAAACTCAACATCTAATATTATACAGGATCATTACTGTAGATTCCTGTGTGATACAGCTATGCCTATGACTCACCCTACGTCGTCTACGGTCCGTCCGTCTTATGTGGTGCCAGAGAACCATCAACATCTGCGTATCCAATCCAGTGAACTCCTCATTGCGCTCCTTATGACGTTTCCTCAGATTTGATTTTACCGTCTGAGGGAGCCACAGAAAATTGGGTTATAATGCAAGTTCATAAATTACTGTAAGCCCCTATTCCAAATGTGGGAGGTTAAGTTTCCAATTACATTTTACACAGTTGATTTTATATTTAGGTTGTCATAACTATAACACAGTTACAGCCCTACATCTCATGAATGTACAATACAGTAACTACCCTGTGGATCCCACAGTTAGGCTCATGTAACTAGTCAGAATCTTATCCAACCTAGGGTTTTCAAACATGTATTCTGTTATCTACTCTACAAAAAATGCTGCAATTATTTATAATAGATAAAAAAATTTTGAGTAACAATGGGCTTGAGTTTAAAATTGATGCATTTGTGGTGTTTCCTGCCACTCACTGGCATCTGCACTGTTAACTAATAGCATCTAGTACCAACAATGAAGAGGATGGTGAGAGGATGAACCTGCAAAGCTGATTCTCATAACAAAGAGTGTCTGACATTCGAAAAAGGCAGGTGAGCGGACACTTCTAAGTAAATTTAATATAAAAAGGTCTAAACACACTACCATCTGCAGTTATTTCCTTGAATAATTTCTTTCCCATAAAATATTATGTTTGCCCAAAACAGATACAGTATTTCCAATACACTAACTTTGAGGATCTTGACCCCTGCGTTGGACAACTCTACTGTACAGGAGGAAAATACACAAAAGTTTTTTCTAAATATTCCCTGCTGAAATACAATACTTGATGGCATGGTGTCCCAGCTACCATAAGGCAAATTTAAAGCAAGTTTTACAGCTGGATGCCCTTCCTATTGCCAACCCATCGATAGAGTGGGAACTGGGCTTGAAACTTGGGACTATCAGGTCCCTAACAACCACTCCATGATGGCTTTAATGATACAGTACTGTACAGTATACTGTATTGAAGCTTACTTGTACAAACATTAAGCCTTTAATATAAAGGACACAATTAGTGTTGAAATTATTTCCCATGCAGAGCAAGGACAAGGTACACCAGTTTTCATGATCACAACTTTATTCCAAATGACCCATAATGTTAAATATTTCTCACTTGTTCTAAATTAGGCAGTGAAGGATCTTCTTCACATGTAGGAACCCAGATTTTTATATCATCATCAAGGCCACTAGTTGCCAGCACTGGGATATGAGGATGTGGTTCCAGGACATTTACCTAAAAAAGATATATGAATACATGATAACAGTTACCGGTATACAATAAGCAATATCCTTCAAGGCTAAAGTTATACTACACACAATATAATTTTCAATTATGGACTTTAATATGATGACCAAATTAAAAAAAAGAGAAAATATTACCACTCCATTTTCATCTCCGGGCATACACTGGACAATGGACTCAGTTTCCCGATGCCAGAAGAATATGTTGCCACAGTCTGAGCCAGATATTACATACTGACTACCAGGCCCAAAGAAGTTTACTCCCTTAACTGTAACAAATAACAGCATAGTAAACAAATACATCAATAATAAAATCTAGAAATTAAGAACAAAAAGTTGATTGAAATTCAAAATAACAATTAAAATATGGTTTATTTGATATACTGTACAGTATAGTCTGGATTTACGCGGTTTTTGTTTACGCATTTGGTCATTTACGCGGTGCCTTGCCAGAATGAAATATTTTAATTACGTACGCGGTAAATTTCATCATTTACGCGGCGAGCGGCTGGAGAGGTCCAGACGCGCCGCTCCATTTTTTATTCATGCGGTCCATTCTTGACCATACGCGGGAAGCGGTGTGGGGAGGGGTGCGCAGTATGTCGCTGTTGCGTTATCGCTGGCGTCATATGACGTATCGGACTATGATTGGGCCACTTATCCTTACCTCCCTCCACCGCTAGCTGTGATTGGTCTATGTTATATGACGTGGCCTGGCACGGGAGAGAAGCTACTGACCTAGCCGCGCCAGTCTCATTGTTCTCAGTCACAGCGTACAGTAGGCTCTCGCCAATAACGTCTAATAGGTGCCTGAAAAACACCGTTATTAGCAAAAACGTTATTTGTGTGACATTGAAATGCATGTAAAAAGGGTTTATTGGTGCCGCCGCCCCAAGAATTTCACCCATTGTTCTCCCTTGAAGCCCTGCCTAACACTTTTTGTTAGCTGAAATAAAAAGATTTGTTATTCAATCATCAGAATAAAAAATTTGAGTAATATAACACTTACCCGTAGCTTGGGGGAGTTTTTGAGGTGCTTGGTGTGTTTATTGTTCCGTGGCTGGGCATGGAGGCTACTGCGTCGAACCTCCGTCCCCGTGCTGGCCTCTCGCACCCGGTTCACCCACTTCCGCTAACACGTCATCAAACCCCGCAAAGTCAAAATCTTCAAGCATTTCCCCAATGTCATCACCAACTTCAAAATCTCTCTGTTGGTCTTCCGCGGCTGGCCAGCGTTGTGAAAGAAAGCAAGTGATGAGTGACTGCTGCCGGGCATTCACTCGCTCGTTGTACTGCGTCTGGTATTTCCTTGAAATAGATTCTATAACTCCAATCACTTGCTCCCTTTCACCTGATTCACTCTCAATGTCTTGGATCATCTCTTGAAGGCTTGTAAAGACACCCAATAAGAGTGACAGCTTCTGTGTCGTCACATATCTCAGCTCGGTCTCCCCTGCACCACTCGCTGCATCACCACTCTCACCACCTTCTTCATCCTCCAGGAGATCCTCGACGTCATTTGTGTTACCTTCTTGCATCATTTCCTCTTTATCTTCCCGAGTCACTTCTTGAAATCATGGGGCTGAGATACTACAGACGGTTTCCAACACTTGGTTCATTAGCTCTGCTGGCTGCTGTCTCTTCGTCTCGGCAGACTTGAGTTGGGGCAGGAGTGCTGACCAGGCATGCCTAACGGTTGCTTTCGTAGTATTTACCCAGGCTTTTACAAAGAAATTGACTGCCTGGCGAATGTTATAATTTTTCCAGAAGGCAGTAACAGTCATTGTGGAGGTTGAAGGTACGCCAGGAGGAGTGGAGGCGGAGGCTGTGAGTGAGCCAGGCAGAGTAACGGAGGCGGTGAGCGAGTCATGCGGAGCAGCGGAGGCGGTGTGTGAGCCAGGCGGAGAAGCGGAGGCGGCAAGGGGTGGACCCTCCTCCTCCTCCTCCTCGCTACTGCTCACAGTTTCAGAAATTTCCTTTACTTCTTCTTGCTTATCAGTTTTCTTCCTCATCTTGTCATGGACATATTTGTAGTACAGCAACTTTACATTCGCTATGATTTCTTGGTCTAGTGGCTGTATTTTGAAGGTTGTATTTGGTGGTAGAAACACAACCTCAACGCTAGAGTGACATCCTACTAGAAATCGTGCATGACTGGGGGCATTGTCTAGAAAGAGCACCACTTTGAAGGATACATTCTTCTTCCGGCAGTATTCTTTGGCATCCTTAACAAAACAATCATCAAACCACTTCTTTGATAACTCCGTGGACATGTAGCCTTTATTTGTCTTTTCCCAGTAGACATTCAGTTTGGACATATCACATCCCTTGTAAGCTCTTGGTATTTTATATTTGTAGATCACCAGAGGCTTCATGAGGCATTCACCTGAAGCATTACAGGTTAGGAGGACACTAAAGCGATCCTTTGCCATTTTCACACCTTTTGCCTGTTTTTCTTTTTTAGAGATAAATGTTACTTTGGGGGATTTTTTCCAAAACAACCCGGTCTCGTCACAGTTAAAAATCTGATCCAGGGTATAACCTCCCTCTTGAATGATTTGATTGGCAATTTCAGGGAAGGAATCTGCAGCCACTGAGTCAGCAGACGAAGCCTCACCCTGATACTTTGCATACTTTGTGCCACTTCTAATCTTAAACTTATGCAGCCACCCTACTGAGGCATTGAAAGGACGGGGAGGCTTAATGTTTTTCTTTCGAGCTACACTTGCACTGTCTTTCATTCTACAAGCTAACCATTTCACAAGAAAATGCTCTGTAATCACTATCAGCCTGTTTCTATCACTTTTATCATTCATAGCTCGCCTTGCATTTCCATCACTACCGAAATATTTCTTAGCCAGCGCAATATTCTTCTTGGTCTCTTCTAAGTTCCTCTTAATATTTCACACTGTAGACTCAGGACAGTTCAATTTCTTCACAATATCAATGTTCCGTGCGCCACTTTCAATGAGCTTAACAATCTGTTCTTTATCTGTGACCGAGTAGGCACGCTTCTTGTGGCTTTGTCTCTTAGCTTTGGGGTCTTTTTTCTCATTCACTTTAAAAGTTCCCGGGCATTCAGGCGGTAAATAACTCCCTCCACCACCTCCCCCAGCCCCCACAGGCAAAAACACGGAAGCCATTGTTGATCACCGACCCTCGCAACCACTGGTTATAGAGGCGAAAATCTCACACGTGGGAGCAGCTCTGTATTCCACAGAGCGTGTGCGAGAGTGGGAGTGAGGCAGAGCGGACAACTACGTCATCAACATGGCGGCCAAACAAACGCTATCATTGATGCGCTCGGACGCTTCCCGCGAAATCTAATCTCCGTTATTCAAGAGAATCCAGACGTTGTTATTGAAAATGGGTATCTATTGTAACTTACCATTAATGTCGAAAACGTTATTGTGGAAATCTTTATTGGCGCGATCCTACTGTATACTGTTCTCTCTTGTGCCCGCAAAATCTGTTCAACAATGGCTTCCGCTGGACCCCCAACCACCCCAGAAAAACCTTGCATTACCTGAACCAAGCCGCCCCAAGCCCAAGAAGATACGAGGCGCCCTAAGTTACGAAGTAAAGTACAAAATCGTTCAGGAGTTGGAGAAAGGAACGAGACAAGTTGATTTGGCGCGCCAGCATGGCGTGAACGAATCTACGATCCGGACGATCAAGACTGATGCTGCTAAGATTAAAGAACACATGAGCATCACAAAGTCTGCAGATGCTTCAATGGTGAAGTATTGTCAGAATAAGGTGCTGCTCAAGACTGAGAACTTACTGGTGAGCTACTTACTTCGTCAAGCAAGACGTAACATGGCTGTGGACACGCGGGCAGTGCAGGACTACGCTCGTGAACTGTACTCATCAGTGGTGCGCAAGATGGGAATTGAAGAGCCCAAACCCTTCACTGCTTCCTCTGGGTGGCTGCAAGGATTTAAGAAACGGAACAAGATAACCAACATTAACATTGTTGGTGAAGGAGCCAGTGCTGACCATGCTGCCGCCATGGATTTTCCTCTATTCTTACGAGAAGTTATGGAGGAAGGACAGTACACCGACGACCAGGTGTTCAACATAGATGAATCCGGTCTGTTTTGGAAAAATTACCTTCCAAGACCTTCATTGTCAAGTCTGCCAGCAAGTGTCGGGGCCGGAAGTTGCAAAATGAGCGCATTACCCTCCTGTTTACCACTAATGCCTCCGGTACCTGTAAGCTCAAGTTGTTGGTGATCCACACAGCCAGCAAGCCGCATGCCTACAAGAACATGAACATGACCAAGCTAACTGTCCACTGACTAACCTCACGTAAGGCGTGGAAGTTCACTGGTCTGTCCCTTTCCTGCTTTGACGACTGTTTCGTCCCCGACGTGAAGAAATTCTGCGCGCAAAATAATGTGCCATTCAACATTTTGTTGCTGCTTGACAACGCACCAGGACACTCGCCCCTTCTGTTGGATCGTCACCCCGGTGTAAAAGTGGTTTTCCTTCCTCCCAACACTACGTCGTTAATCCAGCCCATGGACCATGAGTTGATATGCAACGTGAAGGCTGCATTCTCCGCAAAGAAGCTTAAGCTCCTGAACGAATACACCAACACCAAGGATGAGTTGCGTAAACTTCTGAGTGGCACAGATAGCGAGAGCGACGATGAGGATCCAGAACAAGAGTTGGCGGAGCATGAAGTGCGAGTTAAACGGTTTTGGAAAATGTTTAACGTAAAGAAAGCTGTTGATTTCTTGGTGGAGGCATGGGGGCAGCTGTCTGTGGCAACGATTCGTCACGCGTGGCGGCATGTGTTGCAGGGTATCCCAGGTGGGAGGCAGAGGCAACCTGTGGCTAGTGAGGTTCAGTCTGTTGCAGTGGAAGTGGACCTTGCAAGAGAAGCTGCACAGAGTGTTACAGCTGTAGGCTTCTCCGAGACCACCAACGAAGACATCATGGAGGTAATCAGGGATCCTGAGGTGACTGCCGACGAGATGGTGCGGCAGCACGAAAACAGAAGTTAACACATGGTGATGTAAAGGATGCTATCGAGTTTGCCGAGAAACTCAAGCTCACCCTTTCCAAAGAACCTGTCAATCACCGATATGAAGTCTTCAATAACCTTCTAGACCAAAGTATGGAACAGTACATCAAGATGTATCACGACCACATCAACACTAGCCGTCAGCGTAACATCACCGACTTCTTCGCCTGCAACCCACCACAGCCAGCCCAAGTCAGTGATAGTGACAGTGATGGTGACAGTGATGGTGACTTTGAGGGGTTTGTCAGGGAGGCCCTGACATCTGTGGTGGATAGTGATAGTGATTCACCTGAGGGCCACTAATCTGCCCTCTGCCTCGGAACCAGCCCCCATCCACGTATGCCGACCCATCTCTTCTACTAACGTAAGTGTTGAACCTTGATTTTTCTTTTACCTGGTACAGTATATTATTCTCTTTTTGATATTTCTCTTCTATATTATGTGTGTGTGCATACCATCATAAAATTAAGATATTTTTACTACAACGTACGTATTGTCGGAAAAAGTGGAGTTGGGGGTTGTTACGCGGACCTCCACGGGTTCAACTGACCACGTAAATGCAGACTATACTGTAATAAGAATGTCCAGCAGCATCATTGCTTTCACTCTCTCTTATAAAACTTGGTGGCCAGAATCAAGAAGAGACACTTAATGGTAACTTTAGTGTACCATACATAATACAGAGAATGGAGAGAGCATAACACATATAACCATAGCTTTATACATGATGCTGTGAATAAAGTACAGTATATGAGCAGAGCAAATTAAAGAAGAATTGTGCAGAACATTTAGCAGGTGATAATATCTACCCCACGACAACTACTAACATACACACTTGGCCAGCATCATAATGATGACTGTAGCAAAGTCAATTAAGTTTAGGTACAGTACAGTTTTCAGGTACTTTTTTATAGTAATCAACAAAATACCTGTAGCATTGTTGCGGTGGCCAGAGTATCTATGGGCAGCATCAGCACCCTCAGATAAAGACGTATCGAATAAGTAAATATCATCATCATTGTATGATGCCAATATGGCATCTCCATTACCACTATACACTGCACAAGTCACTGTTGGAGTTGGTGAGGCCTCGTACTGAAAGAAACAGTTACCAGAGTTGAATCTTAGAGCTAAAATACAGTATTTACCAAAAATAAAATAAATAAAATAAAAATAACCAAACTACCACTTATTTTTAGTCTCAAATGAAAATGGTTACTTTGTAAACATGTTATATTTGAGCTTGTACATTTACATAATAATACTGTGCATAAAGAATAAATGATCACCAAGGAAGGGAGTGTATGTATATGTGTGTGTGTGTGTGTGTGTGTGTGTGTGTGTGTGTGTGTGTGTATTAGCTGTAGACTGTCAAAAGCATGTAGGCTTCCCTTAATTATGAATTAAAATGAACTCTTATTTTTGCCACAGACCTTACCAAGTGGCCAAAAGGAACAAGTACAGTACTATATAAACATGAGTAGCAATTTGTCAGGCAGATACAGTACGTACTTCAATACTGGTACATTTGGTTACAGTCACTATTTGAGTTGCTTCTTTGCCAAGAACTCCTATTTCTGCTTTATTCATTTCATGCAGCTTAATAAAAGGTAAATGCTTCACCCCAATAGACAATACATCATCCACTACTGTATAAATGCTTCAGGCAAAACTGTAAGCTGTCTTTCTGATATCAATTACCAAATGTATCATAACCAATGTACTGTGTTTGGAAATTCTGGGGATGAAACAGCAGTGATTCACTGAAACAGACCGCAAGATCATGATTCAATAGGTAATAATTTATTCACGAATTTTAACACAATTTACAATCTCTTATTTTCTAAGTCATATTAATCATTAAAATTTATGCAACACAATATCAGACTCATATAAACACATGTAAATATTATGCATTTATAACCCTTAAAAATGGGTTGAATACCAGGGGGAGGGGGTGGGGGGGGAAGTTACTTGTGAGATGATTAGCACCAGTGATCATCATCTTCATGTCTGAGTTGTCAAATGCTCTGGAGTTGTGCATGTTGTGGTTTACTATTGAATATTAAAGTTAGAATATGTAATATGGCAACAATATGTGGCAGTTAATGATGATGTGGGTGTACTCCTCAGAGTACTGTCCAAAGAAAATATATTTCAAATTTTCAATATAGGTCAGTTAAAATCAATGTTGTATCATACATATCTGTAACAGCATTTAAAGCTCGACTTGAAAAAATAGTAAAACAGCGAATGTTTTTACCCTTTAAACATTTTGAAGAATATTTAAAAACTAGAGAACATTGACATACATAACATGTCTTTATACAGTACGATGAAACTTACCAGGTGACGAGGGCAATATTTAAAGACTGGGAAGCTCAGGTTTCCACAACGTCGATCATACACTCGAACATACTGATCATGGCCACTAACACAAAACTGGTTTTCATTGACTGGGTGAGCATGTATGCTGTAGAGAGAAACATGACCACCAGAAACATCTTTCACCAGAGCAACCCTGTAACAAACATAAAGGTCATCCAGTTGTGTCCTGAAACTGAAAACTGGTGCGAAAAACTACAACAAAAACTTAATAATCCAGACTAAATTGGGTTGAGATCAGTCCACAAATAATATTTCCTGAAATATCCGAGAAGTGCTCTTAAGTGTATGAAATAAACCCATTTTCAGCCAAAGTATGAATACTTACATTCATTTAATGAACATTTACAGAACCCTGCTGTTTCATGTTCCAGTAAATATGATAAACAAATGCAATGAAAAACATTAACAAACAACTTACAAAAATTTGGAAGCTAACAACTTTACATCATATGAGCTGCAGAAATTTTGTTTATGAAAATCCCAGCTTAAGATTTTAGTATGGAGAAAATACAGATTTTAAACTTGATAATACGAAAGAGGAATTTTCAATACTGCTATCATATGTTATTGAAACATCAAGAAGAGTGTTAGATGAAAACTTCTTAAGAATGGTTAACCGAGTATAGAACAGCAGCTGTTACCGGTACAGTATTTAATTGAATACATAAAAGAAAGGGTACAGGAAGACAGCAATTCTTCACATACATGGAGTTGCAAGGAGCCATTAATGTTGCATAAAGCAATTCTAAATGAAAAAGTGAGAGGAAGCAAGCATAGAAATGATAAAGAAGGAAGAGAGGGTAAAAAGAGGGAAAAGATGGACAAGAGGAAAAAGAGGATGTAGAAGAGAAACAAAAGAAACAAGAGTAAATGAATCATTATTTACCTGGTGGGCTGTTCTTGTCTAATATCTATATTAAGTACTACTGCATCTTCTCCAGCAGATAATACAACATGTGGGGAGGTAGGAAGTGTTGCTAGTTTGTGCGCTGGGCCACGGTGCTTGGCTAGTTTTCTGGTTGCTTTACATACGCCCGTTGATGAAAGTTCTGCTAGACGTACTTGTCCATCACGCGCACATGATACAATGTGTGTATCTCCACTCAAGGGTAGGAACTTACTCTGTAATAAAGGAATTTTCAAATTCAAACATTATGTTTTGCATAGGCATTTAATTAGTACTGTACTGTTATGTAAATTTTGAAAACAAAATAATTCATTAGCTTCATAAGACATACACAGGAACTTCAAGAGGTTTTTATAGAAGTTAGTATGCTCCACCTAGTTGTGGATGACATACATCATACACAGTAACAATAACCATATACAAAAAGACTGAACAGGGTATGTTGTGAAATTCTCCAATACCACAATATCACTGTTTCAACTGTTCGTGAATTTTTTTTTAAAGAATACTATTAAGTGTATCAATTAAAGTGCAGTATACTGTATTATAAAATATGTAACTAAACAATAAATATACTTTCAAGAGCAAATCAATTTATTCATTTAAAACTGGCCAACATCATCATACCAGAAATCAAGAACAGCCTACATTTTTCATTTCACTGAACCAGAGTTTTTCAAAGAAATAAAATGTGTATATGCTGTATATGTATATAAACTGACCTGGAACACGTTGTTTCGATGTCCACTATAGAATGTGATCAATGCCTTTTCTCGAGCCCAATCCCATACAGCAATTTGAAAGTCATCTGACCCACTAGCCAGTCTAGTTCCAGTGGAATTAAAGCTTAGAGCATTGACACATCCCCTATGAAATTCCATTTTGTACATGAGCTCTAGACGTTTAGGCACGTGGAGGGAGTCATAATAATGGTGGCTGAACAAGACAGATGATTGATGCTTGGCTCTCCCACCTATCTGCCTGTAAATTGAGGAATAACCTTCTTTAACCATCAGATGTATATGTCAATAGCACGTTCAATGGCAACAATACCTATGAACTTCAAATAAAGCACACAATGAGCATGTCTATAGCATATAGAATTCCTACCAGTATTTTTATATGACATGACTTACCACCAAATGGCAGTTCCCTTTTACCTTAACAATAAAAAAGTACAGTATGTTCTGTATATAGTAAAGCTTCTCAAAGCCATAATCTAAGGCAACACTATTTCAATAAGGATCAATTTTGGAGGGTTGTGGTTTACAAAAATGAACAAGACCAGTCTCAAAGCAACAAGTTCTCTCAGTTCCCATGATAAATTTACCCTCAAAGTTAATACTTTTGCAGTATCTGCCACATGAGGATACCATTATACAGCTGTAACTATATCAGTGGTCAACTGTAGTTAAACATTGTGTAATTGTTAATTATGCTGTGTTGGGGAGGTTATATGTTGACTGTTGCATTACAAAGTCAGTTTGCTTGAGAAATTAATTGAAGAATATAAACTTACGTCAATTCTATTCTCATATTCAGCAGTTATGAATGTAATTACAGTTATTCCTTCATTAGTGGGCGATGTACTGTATTGTGATTAAACAATACATAACAGTTAATTACATTGTGTTAATGAGTGTTTATGCACCATGATTACAAGCTGTGACTTATATACAGTGAATGTTGCGATAAAACTGTACTGCATAGCCATATATACTGCTAGAGTAAGGTGTGTGTGTGTGTATTGTATTAAACATGCCAAACCATACTAAGAAATCTTCCAGATGTAAAAGCCAGAAACCTCTGGAGATTCTGACTTGCCTATCTTAGTTTTGCATGACACATGGTGAAGAAGCTCAATTTTCATGCTGTAAACAATATTGCCTGTTGCAGTGTGTGTCTGCCTACAACTTCTGGTGATTACAGCTTAATTTTTGTGTACACCTATTCTATTAGAGATATGATATTATTAAAATCCATGGTTACAGAACAATACAAGTCTAAATCAGCATTACAAGTACTTAAAGATAATTAATGTTGTAATTTAGAGGTCTATATCAGTAATTTAGAAAAAATAGACCCCTGAAAAACTCATAGCAGCAATACACTATAGAATATATCATTTGTTATTCTATAGAGACTTTATAATATAAGTACAGTAAATACAAAATGAAGACCAGAAACCGTGGTTGGAACTCACTAACCAGTGTAGGAACTGAGGGAAATGTACTAAAAGATTTAATATTTACTTTTAACCAAGTACTGTACACATTTGTGGGTAGCAATACAGGATGCATCTCTTAGATTCACAGCATGGGGAGGAAGGGAGGGAAAGGAGGGGGAAACATAAAATCTAGGTCAATAATGACTAAGAGGTAATCATCAAACTATGGTATCACTGATAGTAAAGTGCAATTGGGTTTCACAACATAAATCAAATAGCTATAGTAATTTGTAAAGCAAAAACAATAACATCAAATGTTGATTATCAAACTTGTCTCGGATATTGTTATGATATACTGTATTCATAATCAAATTTGTTTAAAATTCATGGTTACCCGGTATCTGTTAAAGTTCTAAAGTTCACAACTCCTGGAAATGTGGACAAAGATGAAAACAAGCATTCCTAAGTACATGTACTGTATTGTACCCTCTCAGGACTGAGGAACAATACAACCATTAAAGAGAGGAACAATGGACAAAACCTTTTTAACCTTACCATTATAACTGGCTAGTGTTTCTGTAGGTATGAGAGTACAGTACTTGATGTAACATAGAATAACAAATCTTTTGATGATTAAGCAATATGAGTTAAGCAATAATATGAAAATGTAATCCAAGTGACGATGAACCTTAACATTCTTCTAAGTCTCACTAATACACTATACTATATTATTTTTATAAATGTAGCCAGAAAAAGGTATCAGAAACAGCTAAACTCCTGGGTACTGGTGAACAAGTTAGAAAACACAGGCCAGAAGTACTGACTAACCTTTGGATAACTTGCTCAACAAAATTCCACTCGTGTTTTGGTTTGGGACGTTCCTGAATTCTTTTAATTTCTTTGGCAATAGCTTCTTCAGCATCCATCCGCTGTGATTCATCTTCTAAAATATCCTGAATGCTTCTACGACGTCTTGTATCATCAGAATCTGAATCTGTGTCAGACAGCAGACCACCAAAAATTGTTTGTCGAGTGTGAGGCCTTTCACGCCGACGTTCTGAAGCTGGTGAATCATCTACAAAATAGATGTAATTTAAAAATTCCCTCATGCTCCACAATGACCCACTTAATCAATACTCCACAAGAAGCACCTGAACCTAACCATCAGCAACTCACTTCTATCTAAAACTCTCAATGTAAATAACACGTCCAAAATGAAAAGTGTAATATTTAACTGTCTTAAAAGATCCCCATTACCAAAAGTAACAGGAGCTACCTGAAGACAATGGAGCTCACCTGCAGTTGTATATAATTCAACATGTTTTCATTTTGGAAGATGAATACAGGTTGCAAGCTGATGACTGTAGAATATTGCAGTATCAGTATTGTAGAGCCATAGTTGGAAGTACATTATAGTACAGAATAACACAATATTACTTATATAGTATTTGCTAGAGAATATGTAAGGTTTCTTTTTTCAAGCTGCTAATTAAATTTCATCAGATACCATACAAATAAAATCTGATGAATGTAGCAAACTGTAACTTACATCTCCCAATAGGCAAGTCACTAGAACAACCTACTTTTAGGTTAAAGTGATATTAGTTTTAAAAAGTTTGACTTTCTGTCCTTACTTGATTATGCACAGTAAATTTGGTGATTTTAGCATGTGTGATATACTGTACTGTTATCCCCACTCCCCACATATAAAGGTCATTATATATATATATATATATATATATATATATATATATATATATATATATATATATATATATATATATATATATATATATATATATATATATATATATATATATATATATATATATATATATATATATATATATATATATATATATATATATATATATATATATATATATATATAACTTGGTTATCGCGATTTTCGTTATCACGCCTCCATTAAAATCTGCACACCTGCTGTTATAGCACATTTTTCAAGCCGAGAATTTTGTTATCACTCAGTTGCCTCCAGGTGTATTGTTACCCCCTTGCTTCGCCTACATCTATTGAGGATAAAATCTTTCACCTACAAATTGACAATAACACATTTGCTGTAATCAGACATATTTAAGTTGACTCAACAATTGCAACCCCAGTTGCAATTTCATATTCTGTGTCATTACTAAGGAATTACGATGTCTCGGGTGCACTCTAAGATTGAGAGAAAACGTAGGACTCAGGCGTCCTGAAGCGATGAGAAAACGGACTCCTCAGACGGGGGACTCAAATAAAGAAAGCATAGCTACATGTTTTGTGGACTACAGTATTGAGCGTACCCTTTTCATCACTTTGTAATAAACCTAGCCATGCCTATGTGTGTTTCTGATACTTACCATAACATTATCTATATCTTCAGTGGGTCTAAATGGTCATAAAATGGGAAAATTGGGTGCCTGGAACCAAATTAGAATAAATCCCATAGGTTCTGTACAGTACTTTCGTTATCGCGTTTTTCGTTATTACACACTCGGCTCGGTCCCAATTAGGTGTGATAACCAAGGGATGACTGTATATACAATACATACAGAACATACAACTGGCAGAAGTGCTGAACAAAAAAAATAAATAAATAAAAAAAGGCAAAGGGAAAAATAAGAAAATGTGATCCAAATTTTGGGGGATTTTCCAACTTCTGAAATTTAAGGTCCCATCCAGAAATCATCTGAATTTTCAAAATTTTAAAATCATATAATCCTGCACATGGAGTCTGGTGACTAATATACAGTACAGTGACCCCTCCATTAACGAACTCAATCCGTTCCAGAAGGTCATTCGTTAACCAAAAAGTTCGTTAACCGAAACCATTGTTTCAATGGGTTTTTGGGTAATTGGTTCCAGCTCACCGAAAATTTCCTAAATTCAACAAAAATGGTAGAAAAGTTCACTTACTTTGAGGTGTGTATGTAGAAGGCTCCTGGATGATGATGATGATGGGATTTAGAATGGGGGTGGAGGAGAAGGAAGAAGAGAAGGCATTGGGGTGGAAGAGAAGTCACCCCATGGCGCCATTTCACCCATAAAATTTTAGCTCTCTTGGTGTAATTCAAGATTAGTTTCTTTAAATCAACACTGCACTGCATTATATATTGTCAATATGTAAATTATATTTCAAAATGACCAATAATTTGCTTGGAAACACAGAAAAAAAGCGTTTAGTTGAAGAGAGTCTCAAGCAAGATGTTACCTCCAGTGAAAACAGAGAGAGACTAACTCCTGTTATGCTGTGTTAAGAGGCTGGATGCCGCGCATTAAACTAGTCACTTTACCTTCAATTATGTTCAATACGTAATTGTTAAAATGACTAAAAAATTGAATATTAAACTTATAAAATTATTGAATAGTATAAACTTCTTGATATTTACTAAAATAGTAAGGAATTTAAGCCCTAGAACCGATTAATGTATTGGCGGACTGATACTAAAGCCGGTTGCCCGGTCAGTGCAAGCGAAAACATGTTGAGGTCGGTTCGTAAGAACTTCGTTAACTGAATTTTTTTTCGTTAACCGAATTGAAGATCCTTATGAAAGGCAGTTCGTTAATCGAAATTACGTTAACCGAGGTGTTCGTTAAACGAGGGGTCACTGTATAGCATTAATGTAGAAGCCAAATGTAACAGTGACCTAATTCCCTAAGAGGTTACGAGGAGCTAGTACACAAAATTTGGTGGTTGTTGTATGTTGAACTAGTACAGTACTGAATCAGAGATGGATATAAAATTTACCATGATCTAATTCTCCCATTAAACAGGTCACAGTGCATTGTTTCCCGAGAGGTATTCAAGTATCATTAGATGACAGCCCACAAGGATTGGTGACATATTAGGTTTCATGACTGAAACATGACCTCAAATATAAATGGTTTACATTTGTTAAAGCCAATGATAACAACAATGAAGATAGATATACTGTACTGTACTTTAGCATCATCCCTCAACATTTCTGGAAAATTCAACAAGCTTTTGAGAAACGGCTCGTCATTACTATTACGGCTACTTTGTTAACGGATCTGAAAAATTCACTAAAAAATAATGACTGTTTACAACACTACCAAGTGATTGCATGGGTGCTTTAAATTTTCAAATAGTTGGGGATATTTTAAATCTAGTCTTTCTAAATGTCAACAGAGCAAAGTGATGGTGTAAAGGTACAGTACAATGTATACAGTACATATGTATATGTATAAAGTTTTCTGATGAGGGAAATTGACATCAATTTTTATCCAGTCAATACTAAAGTGCAGTACTGTACTGTACAGTATTATGAAACCTGCACCATCCTAAACTTCTGTTCAGGTAAACTGAACTGATGTTCCCAAACTACAGTATACAGTAAGTCCTTGCTTAATGTCGTCCCGCTTAACATTGTTTCAGTACTACGTCGCTGAACTTTAGAGACCAAAAATTTGTTTTATGTCTCGGTGATCCGATACTACGTCGTTTTGAGTCTTCATGGACTACTTACTACAGCGCATCACCTGCTCTTGTCTGGCCAAGCTACGCTCTCTAGGCTAGGCGCGCTGCCCTCACTCGCGGAACATCACAGCGTCCCCAAACGACGCCAAGCCGGTCTCTGTTACGACTTCACATCATTCGTGTGTGCTTAAGTGATTTTGCTCTAAAACTGTACTCTAACCATTCGAAATGGCTTCCAAGCGCCCATCAAGTGCTACTGATGCTAGTGTAGAAGAGGCAATGTAAGACCATTACTCTTGCTACGAAAATGGATGTATTAACCCAATTTAAAAAAGGGGAACGTGCTGTGGACATAGCCGCTGTGCTTGGTCTAACCCCCACAAAGGTGTGTACTATCCGGACCAACGCTGACAAGATTAAGGTTAGTGCTGGAAGTGGTTCTTCTCTGAGTGCTACTGAGACGACTCGTACTAGAAGCACTGTGATAGAGAAGGTGGAAAAGATGCTGGCAATGTGGATGGAGGACCAGAATCAACGCAATGCCCCAGTGAGCCTTATGGTTATCCAGCAGAAGGCCAGATCCTTGTTCGATGACTTAAAAGGCAGAAGAGGGTGAAGGATTGAAGGAAGAGACCTTTACGGCCAGCCAAGAAAGGTTTCAACGTTTTAAGCACCGTTATAACTTCCATAATACAGTATTAAGCTGCCAGTTCAGATACGGTTGCTGCTGAGACATTCCCATCAGAATTCAAACGGATTATCCAGCAAGGAGGCTGCTCACCGAAGCAAGTCTTCAATGTGGATGAGACTGGTCTCTTTTGGAAGAGGATGCCTGAGAGGACCTACATCTCCAAGAAGGAGAAAAGAGCGCCACGTTTTAAAGTGGCAAAAGATCGCTTGACACAAACGTTGCCAGTGACTTCAAGCTAAAGCCTATGCTGATTTCTCACGCTGCCAACCCACGGGACCTGAAAGGTTACTCTAAGGATCACCTTCCTGTCATTCACAAGGCAAACAAAAAGGCATAGATAACCAGCACCATATTTAACCAATGGTTAAACGTGTACGCCATCCCTGCACTGAAGGAATACTGCCTTAACTTCAAAATTCTTCTGATCCTTGACAATGCTCCAGTTCATCCTCCTTATCTCAACGACTTGCATGACAGTGTAAAATTTGTATTCCTGCCTCCCAACACGACAGCACTGATGAAGTCTAAGAACAAGGCGCCATCGCCACATTCAAGGCGTATGATTTACACCCTACCATGGCCCAGCTGTTCAAGGCTATAGACGCAGAAAATAAACCAACGATCCAAGAATATTGGCGCGGCTTCAACATTCTTCATGCAATTGACAACATTGGCGAGGCATGGGAAGAGGTTTCCTAGAGTTGCCTGAATTGTGTGTGGCGTAAACTGTGACCCGAGTGCATCAACAGGTTTACGGGATTCACCGACTTAGTCCCAGCTGTTAATAGGGTTATCCTCAGCTCGGCTAGACAGGCAGGCTTTGATGAGTTGGAATCGGAGGATATTGAGGACGTCCTGGCATCCCATACAGAAGAGCACACCAACGAAGATCTGCAACAATTAACAGAACACAGCCCCGTTGAAGACGACGACGACAAAGAACCTCAACGAACGCTAACTTCCAAGAGGTTAGCAGAATCATTGAACATGTTCCAGCAAGCAATGCAAATGCTTCTAGATAACGACCCAAACAGAGAACGTAGCTCAATGGTTCAACGCAGCATTGAGGACAGTCTTGGTTGCTATACTGAAATCTACAAGATGATGATGAGTAGCACCAAGCAGTCAACACTGGGTTCATTTTTTCGTCTCGAGACGGCAGAAGGAGCTTCTTCACAACAGCCGGCAGCCGAGGAGGAGCAAGCAACAACGGAGGAGGAGCAAGCAGCGGCGGAGGAACACCAATTAGAGCAGGAGGAAGAGGAGGCAGCCGCAGAGTTCTCAGTGACTCACTGCCCTCCACCTCCGCTCCCACCCTTCTCCTCCTTCACTCCACTACCCACCACACACTCGCTCTACCACCTCCGCCCATCGATGAGTACCAATACAAACTCAGTATTGTACTGTAGTTTATATACTATTCTCTATAGAAATGGCAATGATTTTTTGTACTGTACTGTATATGTAACCTTTCTTCATGGGGCAAAGGGAGGCTCAGGAAAGTAACTCATGTATTTTATCTATTTCTTATGGGGAAAATTGATCCGCTTAACATTGTTTCGCATAATGTGTTTTCAGGAGCGTAACCCCGACTTTAAGCGAGGACGCCCTGTATTACTAAATCGGTAGCTACTACAGCATAGTACAGCAGTGTACTGTATACAGTACAGTATATCTAAATTTATGTTTTTTAGTTTTCCATTTCGTAATTCCTTCAGTCTACAGTTCCCAACATATCGATTTCAATAATTCGGAACACAACCTGTCTCAAAAATAAAAATTCAATTCACTATATAGTTTTTATAAGTCTTTAGTACAATGCCATGTACACTCACTAAAAAAAATATTCTGCACCCTTGGCTCTAAAACCATCCACAATTATCACTGCGACAGAAGCCGTGATGAGTGTTATCAGATTTCTTGGTCCGGTGTATTATATTGTATAAACCCGTAAAGGTGAAAAATAATCTTTTAGTGAGTGTACAATACCCCAATAAGACCCTTGCCAAAATACCAATATTCTTAAGGATGGATCCCTGCCCAATACTCATATATACCCACTGACATGTCATGAAACAATGCATGACTAAGGAATAAAGATAAAACATAGTCATACAGGATGATAACTGTTGTGTGGGGATGTTAATTTATATCTTATTATAGTTGAATCTTAGTTATATAGCAATGGGGGGGGGGCTTGTATGTGGTGCCAGTTAATCAAATAGCTATGACAGTTAATAAAGAATTACTCTTGCCAAAGGAATTCAATACAGGTACAGTCTCGTTCAAGATTCTTCGAACACTGCTGGAGACAGCTGGCAACTCAAGGCCGTTTGTTTACTATAGTACGTAGTAAAAATTATGAATGAATGTAAAAGTGATTGGTGATTGGTTTACTTAGTTCCCCATTGCTTAATTAATGGTTGGGCTTATTACATTATACTACGTACTATAGTAAACAAACGGCCTTGAGTTGCCAGCTGTCTCCAGCAGTGTTCAAAGAATCTTGAACAAGACTGTACCTGTAAAGTATTCACCAATTAAGTAGTAGTAGCAGTGTACAGATGACACTCTTCTTTCTTGAATATTTTATGCACTACGTATAAGCGTACAGTTAAGTTTAATCTAATATGAATAATCAATTAGTGTACATCATTGATTAAAAATATTTAACAATACAGTACAGTACTGTACACTTATTAAATTGTGCTGGATAGTGGAGTGCCACATAAGACAGATTTTACAGTGTATTTGAAAACTATTTAGTATAAGAATATTGGCAGATCTTGTGTTTAAACCCTTTAAAGATGATTTCTGCAACTGATGCATTATGCCTTACAGGACAATTCCCGCAACTACATGAACTGCAATCTGACTTTACCCATCAAATTTTGATGATTAGGCATGGTTATACGGGTCTGTAGCCAGCCTGGTAAATCCGAGGTAAGAGTGGTTGGTCATTTTAAATTTTTAAACAAGTACAGTATTGCAAATGGGTAATTACAGTATCAATCATTAGAATAAAGAAACTTTATGTTGATGGGGAGGTGATCACAAACAAACTGTCTTAACTCACAAATTCATGAGGTTAGCAAAGTGACGATTGTACTGTAGAACCAAAGCATTTTAGTATCTCCCAAGTTTGGTGTATGTACAGTGTAGAGGCATTACTTCGTTCCATTTCATATAGCAGACAGAAATGAAGTAAATCTGTTCTGGGTTTTTGTTTTTACTCTCTGCTTATCATGCTATGTCCAAACTTTCATTATACAGTACCATCTTCCTCAATTTACTGTATATAGGTACCGGGTATGTGTATTTGGTTATACAGTACAGTATTCATAATACCTGTACTGTACTATAATTTCTTCTTCAGCTCATTCACACAACTCGGGAAACTACTGGACAAGCACTGCATAGATCAGGAAATTATGAATATACAATATGTATTAATATTCTCTCTCTAATACACACATCCAGTACACCCAGACAACCAGCCAAATGTCTTACAATAAAAGTTACCGCATAAACCACGTGAAAAATAGTCTACGATATTTTTCAGTGTTTATAACTATCTTATTCAAAGTACTGTACTGCACTTTTATTTTCACTACTACAGACAAATTAGGATACAGTACTGTACAATATACAACTCAAGATATAAAGTAGCAGCATTCAAACAAACTCCAAAACTCCTCACCTCTACGTTCACAAAGGTTCTTCACTTAAATAAAAAAAATTTCTTGACAAAATCTACATGTACCAATTATAAAGTACTACACTTCATTCATAAAATGAGTCGAAAATCACCTAAAGTTTCATCATATCAAGGGTTCAAAGTTAGCATGATACTATTTTTTTGCGAATTGCTGGATATACTGTACACTATACCGGTATCTTCCAAATACATCCAAATTTTTTCCACATTGCAAAAAGTGTCGTGCTACCTTTGAACCCAATATAACACCTAATATGATTCTTACCTGTGCCATCATTATCAGTATTGCCACTAGCTGCACTTCCTGTCTCCATAGCAGAAAGACTAGTTGGCTCCATGTGGTCTGTCTCTGTGTCTCGGCTGGTGTCTGCACTTGTGTCGTCCATCTCAGAGGGGCCAGAGGTAATGGTAGTGACGCTCCTACTTATTAGTGTATCCCCTGTATCACTTATTTTTCTGTTAGTTGCATTACTTGCTCCCCTCTCACACAGTGTGTTGTCCGTTTCATCATCAGAGTCGGACTCAATAAGCCTCGTACGGTAGCTACGCTGACGTCTTTTTCCTTTACTGCTAAAAGCTCCGGAGGTTTCTCCATCTTTTTTGTCATTCTCCGATTTCACTTTTTTATTGCCTTCTTCATCTGATACCTCTGATCGTTCACTAGGAATGCTTAGGTCTTCTTTACTTTCCTTGTGTTCTCTTTTGTTACCTCCATTTTGTACTACAGTATCACTATCCTCCTTTGTGCAACAAGCTCCTCCGCCTAGATTTTTAAAGTAGGTCTCGGCTTCCTCTGCCATTTGGAGACCAACAAACTACCTGCAAATAAAATTCACAATAATGTAACTGTACCTGAAATTTCTACAATGTTTTGTTTTCATCACACAACTGATCAAGACTTCATGAAAGATATATTAACCTATTTAATATTTCATCAACAAAAATGTTAGGAAAAGCTGCTAGATTAATTTAATGAGCAACAGGTGTAACAGTACTCCTCTAGAAAAAGGAGGCCTAAAATTAGCTGTCTTACTAGTCAGCACAACTCAAACTCGGTCATCTTGTAAAAGAATCCTCCGTATTTGATTTAACAGGTTAGTCATTAGCAGCATAAGCCATGAAAGCCACGGAGGAGAGAGGGGGGTTTATGTCACTTGACTGCCTGTTAGAAGCAGTTAGGTAACAATATAATGAATGTAAGGACTTGGTACACATCTACCTCAAGGGTAAGCTGGGGGTGCCCAAAAGTACTGACCAACAACCCTTAGTACTGTGCCAGGTATGGAACTTAGGTGCTGCATTACGTCAAATAGCCTCTTAATAATTAGCACAATCTAATAGTACAGTACAGTCAACCCTCGCTTTACGCGGTCCCACTTTACGCGTTTCCACGTTTACGCGGTACCCTGCCGAACACGGAATGCTCACTTTCCGCAGTGCGTGTACCCCTTAATGCGGAGAGCGGCTGGCGGTCCTCTCGCGCCGCGCCATTTTTGGATCCAAACCTCCCGCCATGTTGTGTAAGCAGCGCAAGTAGGTTGCCCAGTGTATGTCTTTGTTGCGTTATCGGTGACGTCATATGACGTAGCGGACTGTGATTGGGCAAAACATCCTTACCTCCCTCCCTGCTAGCTGTGATTGGTTTAATGTAGTACTATGACGTGCCCCGCCGCGGGAGCGTTCAAGCCCCTTGACCTACCGCGTCAGTTACACCCCTCCCGGCTGCACCGTGTATATCAGTATCCATTGTTCCATAAGAATGGCTTCCACCGGACCACCACCACCACCACAAAGAAACCTTGCATTACCTGGACCCAGCCGCCCTAAGCCAAAGAAGACACGATGTTCCTTAAGCTACGAAATCAAATATAAGATCATACAAGAGTTGGAGAAAGGAACAAGACAGGTTGATCTCGCGCACCAGCATGGTGTTAACGAATCAACTATCAGGACAATTAAGAAGGATGCAGCCAAGATAAAGGAGCACATGAACATCACAAAGTCTACAGGTGCTTCTATGATCAAGTATTTCCACAACCAGGTGCTTCTCAAGACAGAAAAATTACTTGCGAGCTACTTGGTGCTTCAGGCGCGACGGAACATGGCGGTGGACACACGCTCAGTTAAGGAGTACGCACGTGAACTGTATGCTGCAGTGTCACGAAAGATGGGAATTACAGAGCCCAAACCCTTTAATGCTTCCTCTGGGTGGTTACAGAGGTTTAAGAAGAGGAGCAAGATCACCAATATCAACATTGGTGGTGAAGAAGCTAGTGCTGACCTTGTTGCGGCTAGGGAATTTCCTCATATTTTACGCGAGATTATGGAGAAAGGACAGTACACCGACGACCAGGTGTTTAACATGGACGAATCTGGTCTTTTTTGGAAAAAGCTACCTTCCAAGACCTTCGTTGTGAAGAATGCCAGCAAGTGTCGGGGCCGGAAGTTGCAGAAGGAGAGCATCACCGTCCTGTTTACCACCAATGCCTCCGGTACCTGTAAGCTCAAGTTATCGGTGATCCACACAGCACGCAAGCCGCACGCCTACAAGAGCATGGACATGACCAAGCTAAATGTCCACTGGCTGACCGCACGTAAGGCCTGGAAGTTCTCTACACTGTCCCTCTCCTGGTTTGATGACTGTTTCGTTCCCGATGTGAAGAAATTCTGTGAGCAACAGAATGTGCCATTCAAGATTTTGTTGCTGCTTGACAACGCACCAGGACACTCGCCCCTACTGTTAGATTGTCACCCCAACATAAAAGTGGTCTTCCTTCCTCCCAACACTACGTCTATAATACAGCCCATGGACCAAGAATTGATCTGTAGTGTAAAAGCTGCATTCTCTGCTAAAAAATTCAACCTCCTGAACGACTTCACCAACACCAAGGAAGAGTTGCGTAACCTGAGTGACACCAACACCGATAGCAAGAGCGAAGACGATGAGGATCAACAGTTGGCAGAGGAAGAAGTACTTTTAAAACAATTCTGGAGAACATTCAACATCAAGAAAGCTGTGGACTTCTTGGTGGAGACATGGGATCAGCTGTCTGTAGCAACTGTTCGTCACGCATGGAGACATGTGTTGCAAGGCATTCCGGGTGTTAGGCAGAGTAAATCTGTGACTGGTGAGGTTCAGACTGTTGCAGTAGCAGTGGACCTTGCCAGAGAAGCTGCGCAGTGTTACAGCTGCAGGCTTCTTCGAGACCACCAACGACGACATCCTGGAGGTGATAAGGGATCCTGATGTGACTACCGACGAGATGGTAGATGATGATAACGTCAGTGAAGAGGCAGGTGGTGCGTCATCCCAAGAAGAATGCCGCTTATCCCATAGTAATGTAAGGGGTGCCATCGAGTGTATTGAGAAAGTCAAGCTCCTCCTTTCCGACAACCCTGACGCAAACAGGTATGAAATCTTCACTACCCAGCTGTTGCAGACTATGGAGCCCTACATCAAGGATTATCACAACAACATAAACACCAGCCGTCAGCAAAGCATAACAGAGTTCTTCGCCCGCAACCCACCACAGCCAGCCCAAGCCAGTGACAGAGGCAGAGACAGTGATGATGACTTTGAGGGATTTGTCAGGGAGGCACTAGTAAGTGTGGATGACACCGATGAAGACTCACTTGAGGGCCAGTAGCCTGCCCTCTGCTTCGAAACCAGCCTCCATTCCCTTATGCCGACCCATCTCTTCTACTAACGTAAGTGTTAACCCCAACCTTGTTTTTTCTAACCTAACCTTCAGTTTATTATTCTCTTATTGATTGTTCCCTTCTACATTATGTGTGGGTGAATACCATCATAAAGTTAAGATGTTATTTTTAGTAAAACGTACGTATTGTGTCGGGAAAAAGTGGAGTTTGGGGGTCGGCCCGGTCTCTATTTCAATTAATCCCATATGTTATGTTGTTCACTTTACGCGTTTCTCACTTTAAGCGGGCCACCGTGGGTTCAATTAACAGCGTAAAGTGAGGGTTCACTGTACATGTATATCCATTTGTATAACCCAACCTTACCCATAAAATTGCACTAAGTGCACAGTAGTACCCATAAAAGCAATGAAAATTAACTTATGCACCTAAACACACTCAGTGGCCTTCAGAATGTGTCCCTATCTACTGCATTATTTTGATCTGCCATGAAATAATGCACCTTAACACAACCAGCATTCTAATGCCTCCGTATCAAAACTGAGATTAAAGCTTCTCGAGATGCTAAGTAGATTGAACTCTTATGCCAGTACTGTACATGCAAAATCAACCTACAGTGACAGAAGATCTCTCCAGGTTAGTTCTCCTTTACCATGTTCTGTATGAAATATCCCTAATGCGTGTAGATGTGTTACACTGTAGTATTATGACTTATTATCCTACTACTGTACTCTATAATACCAATAGTTTTTTATATCATTCATTAAGTTCAGAATTCAATATATCTGTAGTACATCATGCCTTTAAAATTTGCGGCCTTCGATTATTCGCGTATGACACCCTGATTGTACCGAAGAATGTCTGAGGGTACTTCTAAAGTTGGTGGCAGGTTCGCGGTCAGGAAGGGGGAGCGCGTGAGTTTCATGGCTCTCACAAGTGGTCTCTGTTGTCCCAGGAGGCTGGGCCACACTCACTCTCCGTCTCATGCATGTGCTACTCTGCTCTCTAAAGAACTGTGCTCCTCGTGCTTGGGATGGTTGCCAAACACCCTCAACCATCTTCAACCAGCTGCGGGAAGGCGCCCAAACAAGTGAGAGAAAAGGTCATAACCCTCATGGAGAAGACACAACTGGTAGGCAAACTGAGGAGTGGATAAAGCTTTGCAGCATGTGGCAGGGAGTATGGCATCAATGAGTCAACTGTCCGCTACATCAAGGAAAAAAGAGGGATATTCGTAATGCCATTGCCCTAAGTGCCCCCTCTTCTGCCAAGATAGCCGTTAATGTGAGGGATACAGCTATGGTGAAGATGTAGAAAGCCCTTAACATCTGGATTGAGGACTGTAACTGCCCGCCGCCACATCCCTCTCAGCCAGAAGTTTATCCGTGACAAAGCCAAGGACCTGTATGACCAATTCCGTGGTGAAGGTGGTGCTAATGCTGGTGGTTCTGGTGATACCATAGAAAAAGGTTTTAATGCCAGTAAGGGGTGGTTTGAGAACTTGAAGTGCTACAACCTACATAACTTGAGGATCATTGATGAGTCAGCCTCAGCAGACAATGTAGCAGCAAAGGAGTATCCTGAGGTCTTTGCTGAGATTATCTGGGAGAAGGGTTACAAGCCAGAGCAAGTTTTCAATGCTGATGAGACTGGTTTGTGGTGGAAGAATATGCCAGCCAGGACATTCATTTCCAAGGAGGAATGGAGTGCACTGGACTTCAAGGTGGCCAAAGATCATGTGTCTATCCTGCAGTGTTGCCACACTGCAGGGCAAATGATCAAGCCCATGCTGCTGCACCAAGCCAAATATCCGTGAGCACTCAAGAACAAAGACATGCACCTCCTCCTAGTTTTCTACGCTCAAACAAGAAAGCCAGGATGATGGTAGTGTTGTTCGCTGACTGGTTTTACAATTGTTCTGTGCGAAAGGTCAAGGATTACCTGCAAAAGAAAGGCTCTGGCCACCCCAAAGCCCTCAAGGTTGCCAACAAAAACGTCGAGGTGGTTTTGCTGCCCAAGAACACAGCATCATTGCTCCAACCACTCAACCAGGGAATCATTGCTGTCCTCAAGGTCAAGTACATGACTCGCTCCTTCAGCAGGATATGGCAAGCCTTGAACGAGGACACATGGGATGGTGCCGAGTCAGTGTGGGAAATGTG